ATATGAAGGGCAAAACAAAAAGGCAAAGAACTAGAAACAAAGAGAAGAAAGGGGAACAACTTTGAGGATCAATTTAGTTTTCTGTTGTTATTTTTTATTAGTTTTCAATAGCCAACTAATAGAAATTTCAGAAAGAAGAAAATGAAAGAAAGTAAATAAATAAAAACAGTAAAAAGAAAAATTACAGAAATGAACGTTATAAATTTCTAGATAAAAATGGTCCAAGTAGGGATGAAAAAAGATTCAGGATAAAGCCAAGCACAGGGAAGTTTTGGGACAATTGGTGTTAAAATAAGATCTCCAACATTCCCAGATATTTTTTTAAAATCTTAAAAGAATGGGATTCTGAAAGGTCCACAACTTCTCAACAACAGCACAGAAGGAAAAATACAGTAAAACAATGCATCCACAATGCTGAGGGAAAAGAATTTTTAACCTAGAATTCTATACCCAGCCAGACAGGCAGTCAAGAGTGAGGGTGGAATAGAGCAGCTTTCAGGCAGACACACTCAAAAAAAAAAAAAAAAATCACTAAATATAAATCACTAAGTATATGCTCTTTCTAAGGAAGATACAGAGGGTGTGCTTCAGAAAATAAGAGAGCAAACCAAAAATGAGAATGACATGGGATCCAGGACAGAGGTGATCCATTACAACAAAGCAAGGAGAGCGAGTCCCAGTTTGCACCAGGCTCAGAGAGCGACCGGTCTAAAACAGAACAAGAGAAGAGAGGATTACGGAAGACAATAGAAATAAACGGTTGTCTGATATATTGGAATGCTTGAGAAATTGACAGTTACTTGACAGATCTGTTGGAATACTTGGAAAAATGAGGGATAAGTAAATAAAAAACTAAGCAAATTAAAAGAAATCAATGAGAGCAAAAACAAGACGATTATTAACTTCAGGAAAAGTAAAATTATAAAAAGAAAGGAAACAATCATAACTGATCACACGGTTGCGTAGGAATAGTATATATACGTATTTATAAATACTGGCTGATACAACTACATTCAGTGAGTAAGCGAAAAGGCAGAGGAAGGAGTAGAGTGTAAGAAAGTGAAACCCTCGCTAGGAAGCCAAAAGTCTACAATCAGTACGTTTATAAATGGCTGTTTGTGCGAATTACTTAACAGTATGGAAATATAGAAAATATAGCTAAGAAAAGTTAAGTGTGCCTGCCTCTGTTGAGTGAGATTATGGAGCGAGATGAGGTGGGAAAAGGGGCTATTGCCTTTCAACATAAACCATTTAATACTATTATAACTTTGCCCAAGTATTATTTTGATAAATATAAATTAAAACTAATTAAAATAGTACCTATAGAAACTGTGGAGTTCTCGTTTGCCATAGTACCACACAGTACCACATAGCAAGACTGGGTGGCTTAAACAACAGAAATTCATTGTCTCAGAGTTCTCCGGGCTAGAAGTCTGAGATCAAGATGTCGGGAGGGTTGGTTCCTTCAGAGGGCTGGAGAGAAGGGTCTGTTCCAGATCATTCTCCTTGACTTGTTTGTCAATGACCATCTTCTTCCTGTGTCTTCGCATTATTTCCCTTCTATCGTGTGTCTGTGTCCAAATCTCCCCCTTTTTATAAGAACATTACTGTCCCACCCTAATGACCTCATTTTAACTTAATTATCTCTCTAAAGACCCCATGTCCAAGTAAGGTCACATTCTGAGGTATTGAGGGGTTAGGTCTGCAACATATGAGTTTAGAGGGGACACAATTCAGCCAATAACATGTGGGGATTGTCGGCTGCAGCCAAAGTTTCTGGAGAAATTATATGTAAGGTTAGCAAGTGACTTAATTTCGGCCACGAGTCTACTTGGATTCCTGAGTGGTCTTGCCCTCTGTGGAACACAAAGCTGCCAAAGGAGTGACACTGACTCAAATGTGGCCTCGTAAGCTGACCTTCCAAGACGGAAAACGCCACCGCAGGTAGGGCAAGCATCAACATTTAAATAGGAATAAAAAGAGATGGCATAGTGACTGTTCCGTGGGACCTCCACACTTTGGTTGCATAAGTGATAACTACCACTCCATAATCCTGGAGGAGAAGATCTAAGGCGGAACTTCACAAAAATCTGCTATTAAGGACCTTTTTTTGTTAAAGGTTTTAGAAGCAGAGTCCTTTAATAAAGATGAACCTTTATAACCTACCCACTCTATCTTGCACTTTTTAAATAGCCTGAATTCTAATAAGGAAGGGTGTCCTTACAATTTCTGCCCACCCCTATTTTCCAAGCTTCTTTAAGGCCAGAACCACAATAGCTAACACCGATGTAGCACTAAGCACCAGGCACAATTCCAACACGCGTGACCTCTTAACTGACTTGGTGACTACCCTGAGACCTCCGGAGCCCATGCACTGAACCACCTTGCTCTGCTCCCTATGGCTTCAGCACGTCCACTGCAGCACAAGCAAAGTGCTGGCCTCACCGTAGGACTGAGTCAGCCAGCAGACATGTATAACTGGTTACTCAGATCCAGACTGTTTAATTAGCCAAGAAGTTGGTGTGCCGCGGTCCAGCCACGACAGGATCCAGGGGGCCCCGAAGGTGGGCAAGGCGTCGGCGCGGGAGACAGTCGACTACACAGCTCAGAGGCGGTGTGACACTGTTCCGTTTTATTGTGATTTGAGTACAACTTTTATACTTTTTATTTGGCATTTGATTATACTTTGTTGTTAAGGTAGCAGGGAGTTAAATTTCTGTGGTTAGGCGGAGCAGAAAATCTTATAGAGTATATTATTATTAATGTTCATGATTAACTAGTACATTTTTCTCTCAATCATTAGAACAGAACTACCTGATGGAACAATCTAAACTTTTAATTATTATATCTATTACGTAAGATACAGTTTGATTTAAGTAAAGGTGATAGATAGATGTATTCATAACAGCAAGTATTGGCTTGTGGACAGACATTGTTCTTCTTTCTGCCTGAAGAAATCTTTTAAATGCTATTTGATTTATGCTATATCTAAAGTTCAAGCTGAACCTTTCTCATAGCTGTTCAAAAGTTTCCTTGGTGCAGTAATGAGGAAAATATTTATAAAAATCAGTTTTACAAAGCTGCTTTCATAAGCTAAGTTTCTGTTCCTTTGTTTTTAAGCACCAAGGAGATCCTGACCTAGCCAGCCTTTCTATGAAACTTAAACTACTATAAGGCACATGAATTCTATCTTTATTCACTACATGTATACTATCTTTATTATAAGCTTCTGAATAAGGCAAAGGAAGATCAGGTAATCTTTTCATGCTATTAGCCCCCCTAGGTGGATACCAGAGTTTTCTATTTATCCACTAGGCCACAAAAGGAGGCCCTTCTATAGTAGGCACAGGCTTATGAGTAAATTTCTTATCCTTACTAATTTTTCTACTAACTGCATGGGAACAGGAGTATAAACTGGTTCTAGTAATTCAGCTTGTTATAATTTATTCATAATATCTTTAAGAGGCGTGTCAAAAGGAATTTCCCTTAATAATTGTTCAAATAAAGGGTTTACGCATTCTGGACATGTCAGGGTGACTAGAGCTGATTCCATACGCGGGGAATTTACTACGTTTTCCTCAGAGCCAATTTTGAGGAAATCCATTTGTATAGCGTTTACACTTACTAGAATTTGCGCTACCCAAATTCCCCCTATTAATAGGATCATTTCTAAGAAACCAATTATCCCTAAACACATGCCACGTCCTCGTTGTTGACGATGCATTCCTTGAAGCCTCTGTCCCCATCTCCGGACCTTGTCACGCAGTAGGGTAGAAAGAGGACGCGGCATTGGTGTACAATGAGATTTATACAGGATGTTTTCAGTCTCACTGGATTGTCTCTTCGAGGTCCCCTAGCATGATGATGATGATGATGACGACGATGATGATGACGATGATGATGATGATTTTTACATTTACTGTGACAAGAGCCTAAAAGGGAACGTAATGACTATGTTGGCATTTATATCTCACCGTCATGCAAGGAGCTATGGGAATTTAAGAGGAAAGGCTGCTGTTGATTGGATTCGTTTCAGAAATATCCTTTCAATTTTTAAATCATTAGCGTGTGGTTCTATATATATAAAATGAAATTTAGGAGAAGCACGAGTTATAGGACCCATCAAATTGAAGAGGCATAGAGTTATGAGACTCAATGGTCCGACCCCTAAATTTTAAGAAAATGATAAGAAAATGCCAATGTCTGAGACTGAAGCCAATATAATCATGTTAACTGAATGAGAGTTTCATCATTTACAGAAATCATCTACCACAAGAGATTGTTTCTAAAGTTTTCATAAATTGGAATGAAAGTAATAATTGTCAGAGAATCTTCCAGTTCCCCTCTCAGTAGCAACTAGACTGGGGAACTGGTGTTGAATCGTGTGAGGGCACGCACATGCGATGTCAGTCTTGCTGTGTGTGCGTGTGTATGTGGGGTGGTGTGTTAGGAGGGTGGGCGTAGACGGATATTTACTCCACATAGAGTATGAAAACAGGATCCTAAAAACAGGCAGTCGTCAGCGTGATTCCAACTCTGTTCCTGGCTGGCAGGTGCGGCTTGTGGCATGTGCAGTGAGGCACGGTGTGGGTGGTCGTTGTGGTGGGTGTGTCGCTGGCAGGAAGGCGTGCGGTTTGGTGGGGTGAGCTGATGCGTGATGTGGTGTGGGTGGACTTGGCATGTGGTTTGATGCAGTAAAGAGTGGCCGTGGAGAGAGCCTGCGTGAGGGGTTTGGCAGGAGGCATTAATTTCGTGGGAGGTGGGAGGTGGGAGACTGGACTATATGTGTGTGGGGATGTCGTATAGACATGGCTTGTGAGTGAGTGTGTGTGTGTGTGAGACAGAGAGAGAGAGAGAGAGAGAGAGAGGTGGTTGGTTGAAACTTAGCTTTTGTTTAGATTTTCTTTTGCCCTTTGTTTTGTCTTTGTTTTTGTCTTTGTTCGGCCTTTGTCTTGTCTTTGTTTCACTCTTTGTTTAAACTTTCTTTGGCTTTTGTTTGGTCTTTCTTTAGCCTTTTGTTTAAACTTTGTGTGGCCTTTGTGTAGTCTTTGTGTAGCTTTTGTTTTTAAGTAGATCTTGGCTGAGGACCCATCAAAAACACCTTGTGTAATGAAAACCCCGGATATATAATCTCTCCCTATATATTCTGCATGCATTGAGTGGCCTCAACAGCCCCCAGGGACCTGGTGCAGACGTGGAACGTGTTTCACATAACAACTGCTACTTCAAGGTAAGGGGATTCCACTGGCTTTGATCCTACTTCACACTGTACTTCATCTTCAGGTGTCGAGTGCACATTTTTGTACAGGTCATTTCATTATATCCCAGGGGAAACTTGTTGTAACAGCAGCCACGATTGGGTGGACATAAAAGGATGGAGAAAACAAGAACGGAGGACAACCAGGTTGTGCCGATGTGGGCAGAGAGTCCTCCTGCAGTGTTCTGGCTAATGTTTGGGCACATCTGAGCCTGGAGAGAGGCTCTGAACCCTAACTCAGATTCCCTCAGGTGAAAAGCCCCATGTTCCTGGAGCTGAATCAGCAGGGGCTACTGGCTTCTTCTTCTATTATTTATCATGACTTTTCTTCTCATCTAGGAAGAATGCCTTCCCTCATGCAGCTGGATTTATGTGTGGGGATACCAAAGGCGCAATGAAGCCCAAATCTTGTAAGAATTTTACTCCCTGTGGGCTAGCAACCTTAGATGGAAAGGCATTCACGCTTTATTTTGTACAGAACCTCAGAAATCACAGTCATGTTTTTTTTTGTTTCCTCCAGTTTTGTGGTTGATAGAAAAATGGAAGAAAAGATTATGTGTTAGGGGAATAAAGTTTTTAACTTGGCTAGAGTTCTAGGAAGATATTGGGGGAAAATTTTTTTTAATGCTTTGTGAATAAATCAAAGAGGCAGAAAACATTGTTGTCAGATGTTCAGCCATGCTATTTTATGTTTGTTTAGAAGAGCAGAGGGTCTTGGTGAGTGGATTTTAAAAATTGTTTCATATTTACAGAAAAATCGAAATAGTACAAAAATTCCAGGTGTATCTATATTACTCAAACATTGACTTTTTACCACATTCGCTTTATCATTCTTTCTCTGTGTACACAAATACATTTCTTTCTGAGCCATCTGAGATTAAATTACAGACATGATCGAAACCAGAAAATTAACATGGAGAAAGCGCTATTATCTAATCTACAGACCTTGACATGATCCTGATGGTTTTGAAGAATATCGGCCTCCTATTTTCTTAAATGTCCCTCGGTTTGAGTTTGGGTTTATGTTTTCTCACGATTAGGTCCAGATTTGGACCTAATCCGTTTTGGAAAGAGTATACTTGTGTTTTAGATCATATATATTCAAATTCAAACTTGAATCTGATTGTACGAACTTTTAATTCAAGAGCCGGTTTATCTAATGGTAACTAGGATTTTAAATGAGTACCTAAAATCTTACAAGAAAATGTGAAAAATGTATTTGACGCATGCAATCAATATACAGATGATGTATTATTGAATTATACGCTTGAAACCTATATAATTTTATTAACCAATGTCACCCCAATAAACTTAATAAAAAAAGAAGATATAAAAAATAAAAAATCCAGGGCTTTCTACGGAAAATTCACAAATATTCACCCAAAATGTACAAGCGCTGCCCTTTATTTATAAACGGTGGTTACAATATGTACATGAACTTGAAAGGTGTATAGTGAAGTATTTAATCTAGGTGCCTGTGTATGTTGGAGTCATGTTTACTACTCTATGAGTATTCATTTGATAAATGTGGTAATTCCTGTCTAAGCAAAACCATCTGCTAAAAACAGATACAATTCAATCAGGAGCTGTCCTGAATAGCTGCTCCAGACTTGCTGGTCACCTTTAACACGATGACAGGGGGCCTGGGAAAAAGAACTTTCATTTTGTAAGTGGGAAAACTTCTGTGTGGAGGCGGCTGGCAGTTTTATTATTCTTAAAATGATTTCTTTCGATATGCAAATGTAAAGCATCTGACTTTTTTTTTTTCCTCAGAGAAAATTACTCTGAAGTCATCAAAAATCTGAATGTGGGGGAATTGATTAATTTGTTATGTGATCTTTATAGTCCAGCGAATGAATTATGGCTTTAACGGAATCGAGAAATATTTTCTTTCTTAAATACGGAATTAGATGAGAAGTTTGGGGTTCATCCCAAGGTGCCATTTTAATGTCGGGGAACTCAGCTTTGGGGAAAATGTAGCATTCGCTATTATGATTGTGTTATTTGAGTCAGAGAAGTCACCCTGGAGTTTGAGAAAGTGTTTTTCTCAAACTCCAGGGAAGTACTGAAAGGCCCCAGAGGCCAGAGCATCAAGAATACAGAAAATAAGAAAGTGTTTTTCTCAAACTCCAGGGAAGTACTGAAAGGCCCCAGAGGCCAGAGCATCAAGAATACAGAAAATAAGAAAGTGTTTTTCTCAAACTCCAGGGAAGTACTTAAAGGATTATGTGTTCCTATGATGAGCCATCCTGGGGTGGAAAACGAAGGCCTCCTTCTCTCGCTCAGTCAGAAGAATTGGGGGTCGGGACACGGGAGGCTTGTGGGGTTCAGGAGAATCTTGCCGGTGGGAACTGAGTTGCTTCTCACAAGCTGGAAGCCAGGAACCCTAGGATTAGCTTCCATCATGTGGGCTCTGCAGGCCGCTGTGGCTTCCGGTGCTCTTGCAATAATGCTCTAGGTAAAAGCTTGATGTTAGCTGTGCTCTGGGTGGTTAAGGGACCAGTATGTTTTAAAATGTACGTGGATTTTGTTTTTATTTAGGTGTGGCCCCAAGCAGGGCCAGATGGGGAAGCACTAGGGTGGGTCAGGAGCCAGATGGACCCAGGAAGCACTAGGGTAGGTCAGGAGCCAGATGAACCCTCTTGCATGGGCAAGAGGCTTCGTTGTATCTTTTTGCAGGGATGAGTGAGCCAGGCAGGGTAAGCAATGCGAGGCAGGTTTAGGAGGGGCGAGTTTAAGTAATTTCAATGGGCTCTGGGGTGAAGGGGCTGTCCTGATTTTTCTGGTACCTGGCCCTGGGGTGATCAGTCAGAATTTGCCAAAGAAGGTAATTGGTGAGTTCAGGCTCTGGATCGATTGATTTGCTTATGAAAGGCACACTCACAGGGGAGCCATTTGCTGTCTCTAGGATTTAGTTAGCACTGGGAGGGGCAGTCACTCTAGAATCGGTAAGGCCCCAGAGGCCAGAGCATCAGGAATACAGAAAATAAGAAAACGTAGTTAATACACAGTCAGTGTCCACATCTAGAGTGAATGGGCAAAGGGAAAGGTGAGCAGCATTAGACTCTGGAGCGACAGCATTTAAAAGCCAGCACATGTGACACAGCCAGGTTCATGGAATGTGTATCTATTTCTAATGGGAGTCCAAAAATTAATTATAAAAACAGAGAAATGGATCTTCAGTGATCCACAGCAGTGGGTACATTAGTTTTAAACTGCTGTGTAACACATGACCACAAACTCTGTCTTAAAACCATATCCATTTATTATCTCACAATTCTGTAAATCAGACTTCCAGTAAACTTGGCACTCTGCTCAAGGTTTCGTGAGGCTGAAATCCAGTCTTGGGCTGGTCAGGCTCTTATATAGAGGCTATAGGGGGAGAATCTATACCCATGCTCATCCAGGATGTTGGCAAATTTCATTTCTTCGTGGTCGAAAGACTCAGGTCCCTGACCCCTTCCATCTTCACGCTGGTGGGTTGAGCTCTTCTCATGCTCTGAATGTCTCTGATCCTTTCTGTCACATTTCTCTGATTCCAGCTGGAGAAAAGTGTTGGCTTTTCAGTGCTCATGTGATTAGATCGGTCCAACCCCAAATCATCCAGGATAATCTCTCTATTTTAAGGTCTATAACCTTAATTACATTTGCAGAGTTGCCTTTGCCATGTAACATTACATATTTACAGATTTCAGCAATTGAGATTTGGAAATTGATTGAGAGGGCCATTTTGCCTGCCACAGGGAGTTTATAATTAATGGAAATGTCGAGCACTTGATTAGGCGTATTAGCTAGATTTCTCCATTACAAAACGACTATTTTTCTTTTTTAATTAATAAATATTTATTAGGGGAATATTTTGAGACTATGCAAATGCCCTATTTCTCCTTAAACTTTCACCTGCTAAGTTTAGCATCCGTGAGTGAATGCTGCTTGCAGAAATTATTATTGGTGGCGTTCTAAAGGTGACTTTCTATTTTCCGTCATTGGGTCTTCATTCATTAATTGGAATTATTCTTTAAGGAGGAGGGTCTCTTCCTCCCCATTTCTTTATTGTTATTTACTTATATCAGTTTGACTCCAACGATATTTATTTTATTCTTTGGTTCGTCATCCAGTGCTACTGTTACTTATTTTCTTGTTCCAGTGGAGTTAGCCACTGGGAGGTCTTGCTCTTTTGACATGCCCTAGTCCTTTATGAGTACTTGGTTACTTTCCATCGCTACAGTTTGCTCCAAGACCAACTTGTGTTTTCTCTGCCTCAGCTTGAAATCAACCACTTTTTTTGAGGATTCATGGTTCTTCTTATTGGACAATGGTATTTAGGAACCATGATCTGGGTACTAGGCATATTCTTTGTTACTGGGGTGTCACTTCTTCTAAGCCCTCAATGTGGACAGAGCTAGAGAATATAGGTCTGTACACTAATACATATAGACTCACATCTATATTTAGCTCTGTATCTCTGACTCCAACCCAGTACCACGAGGATCATTCTAGCGTTCCTGTTTTCCTTATTTATAACTTCATTTTCTGACAGAAAGAAACCTGATTTTCATTATTACAATATATATTTATTTGTTTAATCCTAGTACACATACAAAGACATTTTAGAGTTGCTAATCTAATACTTCTATGAGAAAAAAATGTACTAGCAAAGTATGCTATTCGTAAGTAGTTACTTTTGTCTTTAGCCTTATAATATCCACTTGAAACACTGTCTCCAAAGTTACTAAGGTCACCTCCTTTCTTTTCCATCCCTTCAGAGTAGTTGTGTGACTAACTTGTAATCCAGCTAGATTCATTTGTCACAGTCTGCATTCCATCTTGAGTTCCCTCTCCTTCCCCTCACCATGACTGATTTTTTTGTTTGTTTGACTTTTAAGAACATTTTCTTATTTTTTGGAAATGCCTCATCTTGTCACCCATTCTGTTCATCTTTTCTCTACTTCGTTTAGCATATCAATCACAACCATCTCCCAGTCTTTTCCTGCTTGCTATTTTATCTTCTTGGTTTCAGTCTCCTTTTCCTATGTCTTCATACGTCTGTTGATTTTTATTGTATGCTGAACGTTGTAGATAATAGATTGTAGGAGTTCTGGGTTATGTTAAATTACTGGAGGATCACCTTGATCCTGTCAAGGCTTGGTTTTAGACCTTGTTAGGGTGGACCTATTTCATCTTTGCCCTTACTCCTAGGTGTGGTCCCTACCCAATGGTGAGATTCTTTTTGGGGTCTCAACTGAAAGCCTGGTCTCCACCGCCACCAAGGTCTCACATTCCTAGTAATGTCTGAGCTCTGATATTTCTGGTCAGTTCTCAGCCTCTTAGCAACACTTTTTCCTTGAGCTTCCCATGGTTTCATTCTGAAATAGCACAACTTTGGAACTGGCCAATCAGGAAAATTGTATGTATCTTCTTAGTTGTTCCCGACTATAAGTTACTCTTCCCCACCCCTTCCAAGTCCCTGAAGTCATAGTAACCCCTAATTCTTATCTCTGCTTCCTCCTCTCTCTGCTTAAGCTCTTCTTCCCTGTACAGCAGTTGTCAACTAAGACAACTAATCAGAATAACAGGTTTCTTCTGGAGGTTATTTCGTGTCATTTCAAAGATCTGATATATATAAAGAATGGGACAAACGGTTATGAATAGTCACGTAAATCTCCATGTTGCATGGGAAAGCAAGACTGATATTCTGAAGAAGTTCTCAATTTAATGCTTTATCAAGGTGGATTCCTTCATTGAGTTTATAATGCAAAAAAACATCTCTCTCTTCCAGAAGTGTAGGGGAGAAGACAATCTTCTGACTCCTTTCTTTACATGCTTTACTTAATCGCGAAGACTTATATTTTTAGAACCAGACTCTGAAATTTCATTAATTTCAGAAATTTTATTTATTAGTGTTACAAGCAAAAATCAGGTTTGTAGAGCTCAGATTTACTGGGAGAAATGACTAAATATTTTTACTTAATGACAGTAAATTAACTGGACATATCGCATTTTTCTTTTATAATGATAAAATGGGCTTTAAAAGTTTGCGTGTGATCTTGTCATCACTCTGAATCTTACCCTTATCCCCTAATTGACTGACAGTATGTAGATCAATCATCATTCCCCTTCCTAGGACTATGAGAATGAAGCTCTGTGTATAATACACTTGAATTAACTACAACCTAAGTAACCAAAACATAAATTAACCAGAATACCTTTTCCTGCTTCGCTTTTAGGAAAAAAAGCAGCAAATGATACCAAGACAAGCTCATAAGAGAGATCTAATCACCAGATGTGTACGGATGAAAATACAGGTATAAATGAATCTCTTATACTCTTTTGGATTTGCATTCTAAATTATTGTATAATGATTGCTAGTATTCAGAATATCAACGTAGAAAGCAGAATCAGCAAAAGACTAAGCAATCAAACTTTCAGTAAGAATTAAACACTTTTAAAAACTATTCCAGATGTTACACAGTATTCTAGGGTTTGAGAGTAGAAATTTGGAAAAAAACACATTTCTATGGATTAGAGGAACCATGACGTCTTGAAACTACCCCATTTCTGAATCCAATAGTGCAAACATCTAGATCTCATTCACGGCTTCTTTTCTTTCAACTTGCTTTGTTAAGTGCCCCGCTAAAATTGTTGGTCCACTAGGTTCTTTGAGTTGACTTGCATGTCCATCTCCCCATCTATTCATTAATCTATTCACTTACCCATTTATCCTCACCTTTTTCTACCTTCTGTTTTGTTCCTATTACAGTTGTAGGATCCCTCATTTCAACTTCTCTCATGCAAATTCTCTGGCAAATCCCAAGCCTGGATGTACCTAATTTGTCTTCTTCACGTCTACACCCAGGCTGCCGAGGACAACTGGAGAAAAACACAAGGGGAGGGATTGATGCCACTACATATTTGTGGTCGGTGACCTCAACGAGGCTCCCAAAACTACCTGGAAGCTTAGTCTCCACATTTCTGCAAAATCTCCTTTAAACTCATTCTGTTTTCAAATATCCAACTCTCTCATTCTCAGCTGATAACCGTGTCTCCCACATGAGTGGCAAAATAAAAGCTATCAGATGGGAACGTCATACACCCAACTACTTTCCCCCTTCCAGCAAAGGCCAGCCCTTCGACAGGTGCTCTGCCTTCCCTCTCCTCAGGCTTTCCTCAAGAATATGAATTATTTCCTCTTTCTGACTTTATTTTAATCCCTTCCTGTCTATAGACCTTTCCCATCAGCACTTATGCATGCTCTCGTCATAACAAAAAAAAAGGAAGCAACGAACCAACCAATCGCCCCTCTACCACTCTCAAATCTAACACCATCCCCCCAAACAACAACAACAACAACAACAACAACAACAGCAACAACAACAACAACAACAACAACTGTGGAAACCACGTGCGTCTCTGGCTACCGTGGCTCTCCTCCCTTCCTTCTCAAACTTCTGGCCTGAGTTGATCACACGTTCTCTCTCCAGATCCTCAGCCCCCTAGTCCCACCACAAACCCTCTACTCTAATTTCCGTTTCCGCCATTCCATGGAGACGACTCTTGTTAAAGTCACAAATTATTTCCACACCACTTAAACTAATGTCCTCTTCACATGCTTGCAGCACGCCACCTCTCAGAGTCATTCCGCAAAGCTGACCACTCCCTCCATCGAAACACTCCTTCCCTTTGGCTTCCACAGTACCACACGTTCTAGTTTTCCTCCTTCCTCTCTGCCTCTTGCCTTTATTCTCTGCTGATCACCCCTCTTCCGTTTCACCTGTAAATGTGGGCGTGCCCCTAAGGACAGTCGGACTCTCTTCTCATTCTCTGTTCTGCCACCAAGGGAATCACATCCATCCTCATGGCTTCGAATGCTGCCTACACTCCAACAACTTTCAAATGCTGTCGCTCGCCCAGACTTCTCCTTTGAACTTTCCTCTTGACATCTCCGTCTAGAGGCCCCTCAGACACCACACCTTGAATGCATCTAAAACTCAACTCATGATTCTGCCTTTGCCTCCAAACCTTTTGCTCCCGTAGATGCTCCCAACACCCACCTAGTTGCTCAAACTACGTAACTTGGAGTCGCCTTTGACTCCTCCTCTTGTTTTTTTGAATAGATGAATCATTTCAATATAACATGGTAAATATAAAGATGGAGGCAGATAAATTACAAAATGGAACAAAGGTAAGAGGGCTTTCATCCAGCTGAAGCAGTCTACCAGTATAACTGCCATTGTGTGACTCAGATGCTGGCCCTGGACTCAAAATTTAGGGAAAAAGGTGGTCAAGAAGCCAGTGCTTATTTCAGTTTGTATCTGGCCTGGTCTCTTTGTTTCCCAAGACTAATGCCCTGGGAGAATCTAGGTCAGTATAGCAGCTTTCACCCTCCACTAGCTATCTCTGGAGCAACAAAGCAGCCCATCAAGCAATCTAGGTTCTCTCCGTTAGCCCCCTGCTATGACTGCAGGCCAAATGAACATTTAGGTTTCTCTATAAGAAAATGAAGATCTGGAAAATAGGTTGCCTTCTCCTTCATCCAGGAAGAATTAACAAGTTTTACCTACATATGAGTACATTCAAAATCTCATCATTTTCATAGAGGAGAAACACAATTCTCATTTCTTACATCACAAACAGATTAAGAAAGGCAAATAATTATAAAACTAAGCATACCTTGAACACATATTTTCTACTGAGAGACCACTTTATGTTGGAACCTTAATTCTTAAAATAGCCCTGCTGGGAATTGGACAAAAGCAGCCTGAGTCTGACATAACACCCCAGGGCAGAGAAGCACCTGGAGGGTTTAGATGCCTTCAATTCAATCACAGTTAACACTCATTCACTGAGTGGACAGCACAGCAGAACCCTGGGGATTCAGACAGAAAGCCTTCCCTCGGAGTTCAAGCTGGGGTCGTAGACATCCAGCCGCACTGTTATAGCATAGTGTGACATGTCCACCAATAGAAATATGTAGAAATTACGTAGAGATAGCGCAAAGGAGGGGCGGATCCTTTGACATGATGAGATCTTAGCTGGGTTCATTAGGATGAGTAGAAGTTCACCATACCAACGTGATGAGGAGAAGGCTTTCCAGGAAAAAGGAACAGCATGTGTCAAGGTGCATCTTTTGATCATAGGATGATGTTTCCGACCTATCGCAGCGCAGGGTGGTGGTGGGAGATGAAGGGGAAAGCGAGATTGGAGGAGTCTTGTGTGCCATATTAACAAGAGGCAGGACTTTGCTCTGTAACTGGGGAAAGCCTTGGAAGTTTTGGAGTGGGGGATGGATTAACAAGGGGACAAACTCACGCCTTTGGTTGCTTTTCCTGGGCCCTTTTGCCCCCTGTCTGCAGAAAATTATGGAATTATTTATCTGCATACAATTCTAGTGTAAATTCAGGTCCATAAGCTAAAACAATGTATTGTATAATTTTAGATCTTAACCAAATAAAGAACGTCATGTTATTAAAATCATGTTCAGAAAATTGCATTACTTCTTACAAGTTTATCTGGCTTCACTGTGATAAACAAGGTTTTTACTCCTAAAACATTTGCAAAATATATTGTCTATGTGCTGGAGACACCAACCTTGGGTCACATGTGTTCTCTTCTCTTAGAATAGCCAGAATCAGGTAGTCGGTTTAATCAAAAAGGACTTTTGCACAAGTCTGTGAGACAGGTGTCTGTGGGCAGTGTGGTCCTTGGGCCACTTTAATTTGTCCTTGTTGTCAGAACAAGACATAGCAGTGAGGGCTTTGCTTTGTTTCCTGAGTGGGTTGTCAACTCCAGTACAATTAGGACCTGTTTGTTTATGCTGTTTATATTTTCACAGCCTCCACGGGTCAAATCAGTATTAGATTTTGGCAAGATGCTGCTCTCTGGGTAAAAGTCCTCTGATTCAAAATTTATATCTGTATGACGTTTTCCTTACTTGGAACTGGTTTCCCGACAGAAATCTATCGTTCAGCGTTCCTGGTACTAATTTGTAAACATTTTAGTTGCCAAGGCCACAAATGGAGAAACCAGGACAAATAAAGATATCCTCAGAGACGGCATGTAGTAGTTACCACCGAAGTTCACTTCTTAACTGTATTTTTGCTGCTGTGGACTGATCGAGAGGGCGGCCATTGTCATTTACTGTGTACATCTACACTCAGAGGAAAGTATTAGCTCCTGGCCTGAGAGGGAATTAGCAAGGTCTCTAGGGGAGGTGGTGAACGTGGAATGAATTTACTCTGCAGCGATAATGTTTTTCATGGCGGAGGACTTGGGGCTGAGCAGCCTTTGGAAGGATGTGGTAGGTGGCAGAAGCCCAGGCCCAGAGTGGGACCTTGAAACCCTCCGCTTTTATTCCAGAAACGGCTCCTCGACAAAGCATCTGCATGCATTCCTCACTTGCAGGAAGAACTGGGCATCCTTCTGACAGCCTACGGCTCACAGCTGGGGCTGGTTCCTTGAGCCCAGCTCCAGCCCAGTCCCTGTTTGCTGAATGTTCCTACCCCTTCCCCTGCGCCTTCTCCTGCACTCTGATTGGCTGTTTTCCCCCCCTCTCCTTAGTTTACCGCGCCCCCCCTCCCTTTTTGGACCAATCGGAATGGACTTGAATTGACATTATCTTGTAGTTATTTCCCTTTCCCTTAGTCTTACAGAGTTAAGCATATTTGTATATGATTACGGGCTTTTAAAGATTCACTGACTCCATTTGTATGTTATATGTGTTGTATTCTCCTAGCGTTGCTAATTTTTCGACCGTGCCTACGGTCCTTTTGATTTACAGTAGTTTTAATTTTGATGTAGTCAATCACATCAGCTGGAAAGTTAATTATGTCAACATTATTTATTGACAAATCCACCCTCTCCCACCGGTTCATAGTAACATCTCATCATACACAAGTTCTCTCGTATAATGGATTTGTTTCTGAGTTCCGTTTTCCTCTCCACGGATCGTATTTGTCCATTTTTGAGCCCATGCCAACTATTTTAATTATTATCTCTTAGTAAAATGTTTCAATATCTGGTGTAAAAAGTCCTGTTACTCTTTTCAGAATTTCCTTGGTGATTCCTGGTCCTTTGCTCTTTCATCAAAGCAGATCGGCATGTTTCAAAAAAGATCTTCGGTAATTTGAATAAGAAATACATAGAATTTATGAATTAATTTTGGCAAATATTGCATCTTTAGCATATAGATCTTTTTCACCTATGAAAAAAATTCCTTTTATTTATTCACATGTTCTTTCATATTTTCACTGAAGTTTTGGAAAATTTTCTTCATAGGGATTTATATATTCCAATGTTTATTTTATTT